AATGTTCTATGTTTATATCCATAGACATAGATTTTGGGAGGCTTCAAGCGAAGGATATGTTGCAGCATCTATTGACAGGCCCAATATCAAATGCTTCTGTAGATGTGGTCCAAGGTGGGCGATCTGTTGAGGTCCGAGCAGTTAGTGTTACCAAGGCAAGTATTCTGGTAATATTATTAACTATTTATGTTATCCAAGAGATTTCACATTTTGTTTCCTATGCATAAACAGGGAGCAGCAATTGACAGAATCCTTGGGGAAATAGTTCACCACAATGATGTGAAAGCACCCATTGATCATGTCTTGTGCATTGGACATTTTGTGCCAAAGGCATGTGATCATATTTTTCCAACTCTGTAGAGTTTTATTATGATTGAGACATTCAGTTTCAGTTTTCTGGTAGGGAAGATTTCTTTTTTCCCTATTTCTAATTGATCTTCCCTTCCCTTCAAACCATTCAGTGCACATTAGGCACAAATGTCGTCAAAGAAAAAAGGGGACAAATGCATAAATATATCTGTATTCTACTCTCACTTAATGGACTGTCTAGCAAGCACTTGTACAAATAGCCCTCCAATTTTGCACATGATGGAAGAAGTTGCATATATTTGTATGATAAGCAAATAAGCTACTGATAGGATACTTCATACTATCACTTCATGAGGATAACCTGGTGAGATTAAGGAGGATATCCATAAATACATAACCAAAACCATGTAGTATTACAACGTTTTAGAACTCATCTTCTTTTTTATCTGAAGAATCTGGTAACTGAGTACCTTACAACTGTAAGCAATGTTTCAGGATGAAGACATTTATACGTTTTTTGAGCCAGAGCTTCCTTCTGGACCAACACCTACTCCAAGAGCCAAGATGGTCAAATCTGTAAACAGAACTGTTACAAATCTTTCAGCGGGGACTAGTGGGCTTGTGTCATTCAACCATAAACCTCCTATATCCTATCGGACCTCAGAGAAGAGAGCAAGCAATCATACAAATGGGAAATGGTGGTCTAGGATGCTTAACCGAATGACAATGCATGAAGGCTCATTAGTTCTTGATCTCAAGGCTGACAATTACTTCTCTTGTGCAGTAGGA